TTATACGGTAAATCCGTTTACTGGTCGTTCTGACCAATTACGAAATATGAGTCAAAACAGTGTTGTAAAGAGCGGTCCGTGACTGGTTAATTAGTGTCACCTAACGCATCTGGTAAATATTATAATCTAAAAATATTAAAAATACATCTTAAAATTGCACATTTATTTTATGTATTATTTTTTTTTTCAATTTATGTTGGTGCTCCCTAAATTGAGAAATCTTAAAATGAGACTGACAGCCACTGCTGCCAACTTAGAAGTTAAATGTTGTAGTCGCTGATGTAGGAACAGCATAAATGAACCCATAAGACTAAAATTAAGAATGCCAACAATTTGCGTAAATTCATTATTAAAATGAATCATATTACGTTGTAACGGTTGTATCCCTTTTATCCACATATTTTTTTAATCATGTTCTCAAAGGTCTGAAAAATATCGATTGCTAGAACCTGCGATAGTTTAAAAGCATTGATTGCAACTAAAAAGCAACCCTACCTATTGATGGCGGATTGACGCTTTTCGCTGGCAACAAAAAATTTTCTTGTGCGAGTAATCAAAAACGTTGCACGCCGCAAAATAAGGACAGAATTGTGCGTGCGATTTATTCGCGTACTGCCCACGTTTAAAATCAAGTGCAATAGCACATTATTTCGGCGTTTTTTTTACCAGTGGCATAAGTGTGCGGCAAGAACAGTTCTTTTTTAGTTACAGCTATGAGACGTCGTAGCGAGCGAAAAAAATCTACATCGCCAGCACCTTTGCCGGCACGTCGCAGTCGCCGATCGCGCAAAGTATCGGAAAATGAGAAAACCGAGGATGAGACGGTTGTAGAGAAAACAGAAGAAACAAAAGCGCCACCAACAATTGAAGAAATCAATGAGGAACGTGGGGAGCGCGCCTCAAGCGAAGAACATGCCGCATCGCCAGTGCGCAAAAGCCGCAATACACGCACGACACCGAAAAAGCGCCAAAGCGCTAGCAGTCAGCGCGAGAAAAGTAGCGAGCGCAAGGTGGAAACCATACCCGAGGAAGTAGAAAATGGGTCGGATGCGGTACTGGCGAAGGCAAGCGGCAACAAGAACATCGATATCGATAACAAGGTATCGGCAGAAAAGGAAACGGCCAGCAAACCTGATGAGCCGCAGTCCGAAATGGAACAGCATAAAGGATCAGAGACAGTAACCGATACAGACACAGTCACAGCGGATGCCTTGATAAAGCCGAAAGAGGTGGATGACGCAGAGAAGACGCCGGAGAAGAGCGTGGAGCAACACAACGATGATGTCTCTGTGGAAGGGGTGGAACCGGAAAAGGACAGCACCAATGAGGAGGCTGCCGTGGAAGAGGTAAAAGTTGCTTCTTCTTTAAGCTTAACAGCAAGTAAGGATGAAGTACATCTAAAAACCACAAGCGATGTATTAGACATTCAAACAGAGGACATGGAAGAGCGGAACAACGAGAGATCGGACCAAACGGAAGAGCCCGAATTGGACAACACCAAGCTGGCAGTCAAAATCGATGAGCAGAAGGAGGAGAATCACAAGGAAAAAGTAGAGCAATCAGCAGAAAAACAAACGAACAAGGAGCACCCAAACAGCGATAAACAGGAAACTGTGACACAAACACAGCGCTCGGTGCGCAAACGCAAGTGGCTAAGCAAGAAAGTGGCCGAGCGTGCACCACCCGTGCTGGCTATATCAACGGATTCACTAAAGAACATCATAGCCGATGTGGTCAATCCTGTGCCGCTCAGCGATGTGCAGCTGGAATCATCATCGGAAGAGGAAGGTCTAGTGACCAGCGATCATGAAACGGACGACCGGTCGTTAACCCCCGAACTGCGTGTCACAAAAGATCGGGATGAGGGGAACGCAACAGACGAGGAACAACATCAACAGCAACAGAAATCGCAATCAAAATCAAATCATGAAAAAGAAACGACAACGGTAACAGCTACAAGTAAGACAGCTATCGAGCCCGCCGCCTCCAAAGCAATTGCCGTTGCCCGCTCACCAAGTCCAGCGCGCAATCGTGCCAGCCATGTGCTCTTCATTACCAATCTGGTGCGCCCGTTTACTGTGCTGCAGCTCAAGGGGCTGCTGGCGCGTACGGGCAAGATCATTGAAGAGGATGGCTTCTGGATTGATCGCATCAAGTCCAAATGCTATGTTGCATATGCCACTGAGGAGTACGTACTTTGCTTTCATTTTTATCTCTGCTCGCACAATACTAATCTGTTGTTTATTTTTTAATCTTTACAGTGAAGCTATTGAAACACGTCATGCCCTGCATGGCGTACGTTGGCCGGTCTCGAATCCCAAGTGCTTGAACGTCGACTTTGGCAGCCGAACAGACATGGATCGTGCTATACAATCGACCAAGAATGAGGCACCCAAATATCCGCAGGACAATACCAGGGATAATCAGCACGCGGGCAACACTTGGTCGCGCTTGGATGCAAGCGAGAAAAAGGTATAGAATCAAAAGTATTTTCAAACTTTTAACTTAACACCTACTAAATCGAAATTCTCCCTCTCCCTCATAAAAGCCGGCACGTCCGGTGCGCGAATGGGATGTGGGCAAAAAGGAGCCCAATGAGCGCGACAAATTAAGCAACGACAGACGCCGCAGCAGCAAGGAGCGTATCGACTCCAGATTGCGCGATTCAGATCGCGGTAAAGCCGGCGACGATGCTGAGCGCTCTGGGCAGGATCGCAAACGCTCAAGGGAACGCGAGCGCGAGCGTGGAGGACGTGAACGCGAACGCGATCGCAGCGAACAACGAGTGCATGGTCGCAGCAGGAGCGGCTCACCAGGTAAGAAATATGCTGCATTATAAAGAAAATATGTGTATTAATATGCATCAAACACAGCGTTAAAATCCAGAAAGAAGGAAAATGAACCACCCATCAGGCTACTAGATGATCTTTTTCGTAAAACTAAGGGTACGCCGTGCATTTATTGGCTGCCCCTGACACCCGAAGCAGTAAGTAAATGTGGATCCAATGCATCTTATTTTGGTACCTAATGCCTCTTAATTTGATTGTCCTAAAAGATTGCGGAGAAGGAGGCGTTCCGTCAGAAACGCATCGAGGAACACAAACAGCGTATCAAGGAGCGCGAGGAGCGCCTTAAGGAACGTGAAAAGGACCGCGATCGCCAGCGTGATAATCGTCGGAATCGCTCCAACGAACGTCGACGTTCGCGCAGTCGCGATCGGGAGCGACGGCGTTACTAGACAGTAACTAAATGAACTACCGAAATAAAACAAAAACAAATGAAGTCAATGCGACAACAAAACATTTTAAAACAACAACAACAAAAAAAGGAAAAGAAAAATAGCAAGCAAATACAGCAGCAATTCATTTCAGGGGTTTTTCTCATCAAAGCCCAACAATTTTTATTTTGCCATTTGTTCTGAGTTAAAATATTCAACTTGAAGTCAAAGTACTTCAATTTGAATATTTTTCCCCTAATGACTCGACAAAGAAACCTAACAATGAGATTTCAATTTCTTTTTTTTCCTCCCCCTTCTCTATTTGCTGTTCTATATATACCTATATATATATATATATATATACATACATAACTTGATTTGATTTCTTTCCCAAATGTAGCTTTTTACAGCGCAACAACTACAACTTCAACTCCCCAACAACAGAACAGCAGGCGTCAGTCAATAGTACGGCAATCGCGACACATTGGATTTGTCTCTGTCCGGAGTCCTAAAACTCTAGCCGCAAGTGTTTAATTTCGCCTATTCATACATAACTATATAAATATATATTTAAACAACAAATGCAAATTAATTAATTGAATTATTGTAACTAATTGAAATTTTTAAAGAACTTAAATATAACTAAATTACAGAAGGCAAGCTTGTGACCATGCCAAAAATTTAACTTCTCTCTTTATTCTTTAATATACATATAGTATATAGATCAACTATTTTTTAATAGTTATCTTTAGAATTGTTGTAGAGAAGGGTTCCTAAACATTGCTAGCTATTTCTGATATAACGTTTAATGAAATTCTAAATTAAGAAATAAGAAAAATGCTTAAATCGTTTACCAAATAATTAACAAGTGTATGTTAAAGAGTTCAAAATTCGCTCCTAAAGTACTCACTTTACATAGGCAAACAAGTATCGATTGCTTTGCGATAGCTTGTACAGCTGTATTTCGATAACATTAAGTCGGTCATAGTAATACTTGTGCACTAATCGGTATCGAATTAATTCATTAAAATTTTACTTTAGAAAAGAAAAAAATGTGGTCTGATACGTTTTTAATAGTATTTATATCAATATGCACGGCATTTTTGGGTGAAGGTATGTATTAAATAAGCTAGCTAGATATTAACGCTATGAAAAAAATTGAACAATGTACACGTATTCATTTATAGGACTTACTTGGCTGCTGGTCTACCGCACCGAGAAATATCAGAGGCTAAAGACAGAGGTGGATAAACAGAGCAAAAAGTGTAAGTAGCCAAAAAGATATGTTTTCATCAATTATGCTGGCTAATTTGAAGTCACGCGATATCGATTTAGTGGAGAGACGCAAGGAAACACACGGAGATTCTTTGGATAAATCGGTGAAAAAGAAAATCGAGCGATATGAGGAGAAACTGAAGAATAATAATCGTGACCTGTCGCTGGTCAAAATGAAATCCATGTTTGCCACGGGATTCGCATTTACCGCTTTGTTGAGCATGTTCAATAGCATATTTGATGGACGCGTTGTGGCACAATTGCCCTTTACGCCCATCTCCTGGATACAGGGTCTGAGCCATCGGAATCTGTCGGGCGATGATTACACCGACTGTTCGTTCATCTTTCTTTATATACTCTGCACTATGTCGATACGCCAAAACATACAGAAACTCTTGGGCTTTGCGCCATCGCGTGCGGCTAGCAAACAGGGCGGCGGACTGTTTGGCCCAGCACCAGGTCAATTTAAATAATAGGATTTTGCGTTGGGGTTTTTTTTTCGCTAAAATTTCATTGGTTTCACGAGTAATAAATTACAATTTAATTTAAAGCATTAAACTCATACATGGGTTTATCTACAATTAAGCGATCAAAACTCAAACGGGACAGATCCAACGTACGAAACTGCCCGTCCATAATAAGCTCGGAGATGGCACGACCCAACGCCGGCGTTTGCTGTATGCCCTGCCCACTGAAGCCGCTGGCAATATACAAATTATGGTAGTACGGATGCGGGCCCAAAATGCCATTCTCATCGTAGACATTGTAGTCGTAGAGGCCGGCCATGCTATTCACCACTTGAGCGCTAGCAAAAGCCGGCACACGTTCGATAAGCCCAGGCCTGATCTTCGTATCAAAATATGTTGGATCTATATCTAAATTATCGCTGTTGACTTCCTCGCCAGGCAGTGCATTGTGCCCGCACACATAGTGTCCACCCAAGCCCAGCCGGCGTATAAATGTGCCCGCTGTGTCCACGATCATGGGCATTGCCATGCCGGGCGCATTTTGCTCCTGCGTGATTATCTTATACATATAACGCTTGCGCGCATCTATGGGCAGGGGCACACGCAGTATGCCCGCCTCACGGCCAATATGCGCCAGCCGAGCTACTTTGCTACTGTTGACGCCCGCCGCGATAACGCACAGAGCGAACTTAATGGCGCTCTTCGACCCGTCCGGCAGTTGTACGACCACCTTGTCCAAACTCTGATAGCTGCCTTCATTGGAGCCCGTTACGATGATATCATCTTGCCGTTTGAACACAAAATCGATGACTTCGCCATGCACAAAATGCCCGCCATAGCCTCGGGCAGCACGTTTATAATTTGATAACAGCGCCCAGGGATCAAACCAACCTTCGCGCTCCAGTCCAACACAGCCAAGTGCAATGCCCTTGGTATTCAGCCAAGGAAATCTAGAGGCTAAACGTTCCGCAGTCAGGAGCTCATTGCGTGCGCCCAGCTCATTTTGTAGCTGAGATGTTTCCTTAAGCATCTGCGCATCCGCTTCATTGGCAAGCACCAGCTGGCCATGTGGCGTATAGTTGATGGGTATATCGGTACCAAAGTGCTCCGCTGCATTGCGCAGAAACTCGGCACCAAACAGCGACATTTGTATGTTCTCCGGCAGCGAAAAGTGGTGGGAGAGGCCATTGATGGACACATGTGTTGCGCACTGCTTATGCTGGAATTACATAAAGGCTGAATACACTTTGCTGTCTCTTTGATGGCATAAAGACACGAACCTTTTCATCTTTTTCCACTACAACCACGTTGAGGCCATCGCGCGCCTTCTCCTTGAGCCAGTAGGCTATGGAACTGCCAATGCCGCCGCCTCCGATAATTAACACATCGCAGTGTGTTTGGAATTCGTCTACATTTCCCTTGTCGCCGCCGAAGTTGAATTTTTTGCTTGTGGCAATGGGCTGTGGCTTACCCTCATCTTCGTAGCTGTCTTCCTTGGGCACAAAGAATTCCTTTATCTTACGCATATCATTGCCAAGCAAACGAAATGTGCGCCTTATAGGATGTTTATCATTTGGATCATTGCCGTCTGGCGTGTTCGACCCGGCTGAGTAGGCACGTTCTAGTGGCACCTGAAGCTGGCGCATAACATGTCTGCAACGTAGCATATTTATATACACTTCTGTTGACTGAATGATAATTGAATTTAGTTTATTTTAATTCATAAACTATTTATTGTTATGCTATCTCATAACGTTTAGAGGAAAAAAACAGCTGTTGAGTGGTTCTGATTGGAGTTACTCGTTGAACTGTTAACTTAACAGTTGGCAAAAATGTGACTAACAGCGCTCACAGCTAATTGTCGCTTGGAAAAATTATTATGCGTCAGAATAAGATGCATATGTTTTATTTAAAAGAAAACTAAAATAACATATACTTATTTCAATGTATTTTATTTTTAAATAAAAAATCTTATATTTAGTCATATATAGCCGTGCAGCCGTGGCTGTTGGTGCACAGCGATATATCGATAGCTGTGACATTAACATAGCGTCAGAGTGACCTGTAATGCGTATGTCAAAACTATCGGTCATCTCTAGAGCCTGGCATTACTTGGCAATTTTGTATGTCGAATTCGGAAGAAAATTAATATTAAGAAATAGAAACTGTAATTATACGCAAATCGCAAGACTCTTATAAAATGACAAACGCTGCTGCCGATGCTGTTACACAAGAAGTTGAAATGGAGGTTGATGCCACGCCCGAAACAGTAGCGGACGAAAAGAAAAATCAAGATCTCGCTGCTGTGCAGGAAATACGCGAGCAAATCCGTCAGATAGAAAAGTCCGTGGCTTCTAAGGAATCGCGGTAAGTGGTCATTGGAAACATGTTTAAGCTTCCGACAAGAAAATATGTATATAATATAAAACCAAATTTAGTTTTATTCTTCGTGTGCTCCGCAATTTGCCTAACACCCGACGCAAGCTGAACGGCGTCGTTTTCCGGAACCTGGCACAGAGTATCTATCCGGTTGGCGCCGATCGTGAGTCAGCATTGTCTCTGACTCCAGCACTGGAAAAAGATGCCACGGAATTGCCAGATGTAACCAAAAAGCAAGTGGCCACAAAAGCACCCATTGCCGAAGTGGATGCGTATTTCTATCTGCTGTTGCTGGTCAAATTGATAGATGCCAGCGATTTGAAGCGCGCTGGCGTTTGCTCGGAGGCTCTTATGTCGAAAATATCTATACAAAATCGTCGCACATTGGATCTGATTGGCGCTAAGTCATATTTTTACCATTCACGCGTCGCGGAGCTTAACAATGCCCTGGAGGGCATACGCGCCTTTTTGCATGCCCGCCTGCGAACCGCAACGCTGCGCAATGATTTCGAGGGACAGGCAGTGCTCCTGAATTGTCTGCTGCGCAACTATTTGCATTATGCGTTGTACGACCAGGCCGATAAGCTGGTCAAGAAGTCTGTATACCCAGAGTCGGCCAGCAATAATGAGTGGGCGCGTTTCCTTTATTACTTGGGTCGCATCAAGGCCGCCAAGCTGGAGTACAGCGATGCACACAAGCATCTGGTGCAGGCTCTGCGCAAATCTCCGCAGCATGCCGCCATTGGATTCCGTCAGACCGTCCAGAAGCTGATTATAGTTGTGGAGCTGTTGCTGGGTAACATACCGGAACGTGTGGTATTCCGCCAGGCGGGCTTGCGCCAATCCCTGGGACCGTATTTCCAGCTCACGCAGGCTGTGCGTCTGGGCAATCTGAAGCGTTTCGGTGATGTTGTGTCACAGTTTGGACCCAAATTCCAGATGGATCACACATTTACGTTAATCATACGACTGCGCCACAATGTCATCAAGACGGCCATTCGCTCCATTGGACTCTCCTATTCGCGCATCTCACCCAAGGATATAGCTAAGCGGTTGATGCTTGACTCTGCTGAGGATGCTGAATTTATTGTGTCCAAGGCCATACGTGATGGTGTCATTGAAGCCACCTTGGATCCCGCCCAGAATTATATGCGCAGCAAGGAGAGCACCGATATTTATAGCACACGCGAGCCTCAATTGGCTTTCCATGAGCGCATCTCCTTTTGTCTGAACCTACACAATCAGAGTGTTAAGGCCATGCGTTATCCGCCCAAATCTTACGGCAAGGACTTGGAGAGCGCTGAGGAGCGACGCGAACGCGAACAACAGGATTTGGAGTTGGCCAAGGAGATGGCCGAAGATGATGAAGATGGTTTCTAAGCGCATTCTATGCACTCATACATATATTAATATTTCATAGATGTGTGAACCAATAAATATAATAAAATTAATTTTCAAAATTTGTAAAAGTGGACGACATAATTGTTATCAAAAGAATAGTATAATATATAGCGGTATTTTCCCGCGAACGTATTTAACTTATATGGTTTTCCGAAAATTTGGATAAGGCAAGTTTGTAGTGCTGTAAAGTATGCGTTGAGAGTGCTGTTAAACGTCGAAACGAAAACGAAAATTTGTTTAATCAATATATAACTTTAATGGAACATTATTTTCGTTAAAATACATGGTATTATATACAGCGCATACATTATAAATTAATTTTAATATGAGCTAGCTTTTAGATTTTAAAATAAGGACACAAATGTAGATCAAAACTATTCGTAATAGTGTGTGGCGGCCATGCCCTATCGATAGTTACGCATGCTGCAAAAAAAAAACTTATCGAGCATTGCAAATAATCGATACATCTTTGCAATATCAACAACCCTATCTAGTTGCATTATTCTTGGAGCAGAAAGCAGAAAATTTTGTGAAAACACACCACGCAGCGAAAAATGTAAAGTGCGCAAATGGTAAAAAATAACAAAAAACAAAGTATGAGCTTGCAAATTGTGTTCAGATAGATACAAAACAGTGCATGTGCGCGTTTATAGTAGAAAAACTACATGCAAGTAACCAGCAGCCACAGCATTCTGTGGCAGCGACGAGTCGTCCAGTAGCAGCGAGTAAATTGTGGAGTCTCTCTGGCCACATTGATGCAGCAGCGCCCGCAAATGTATGCGACAAACTAGTAGTGGGCAGCAGTAGCAGCAGCAGCAGCAGCAGTCGTTGTCGTCTTTGTGAAGCGTCAAGCGCAAAAAAGAAAAGAAAAGGAAATAAGTAAACGCCAAAACAAGAGAGTGAAAAACGTGCGTAAAAGTTAATTAGCTGCCGCCAAGCAACGAGCAAAAGCAGAAGCGAGTGGAGGAGCAACAGCAGCAGCTGCTGCTCTATACAAATCGACATTCGACATTGTTGTTGTTGTTGTTGTGTTTATAATTGTTGTTGCTGTTCTTGTGGTTTTTGCACCCACCACACGTAACTAGAGCAGCAGCCACTATACACACACACATACAGGCACACAAATTCACACACATACACACACACACACCCCTACATATAAACACTCCAGGCTAGACTTCGTAGTAGATGCGTGCGTGCCACAACAAAATTGGAAATGATTTGTCCAAAAGACGTCCTACAGTGGTTTAAGACTCTGGAGAGCTATAATCGCATCGATACCATGTGTTCACTGTTCGAGGCATGCCTGCCGTTTGAGTTGCGTTTTCTGGGCACCTGTCTGGAGGAGCTCGGTCGGCGTGATTCACCTGAATTACGGGGCATGGAGTTGCGCGCCAATAATCCGCAGGATTTGGCTGCCGATATGTATAATTGCCAGAAGGGCGAGCCAACAGATAAGAAGATTCGCCGCAAGATGGCGCTCTATTTGGCGCTTATACGTGCCTGCAATCGGAATTGTGTGAGCGAAATCTTTCGCACCCTCGAATGCTGGGGGGAACGCGATTTTGCCACCATTAACGATCAGGATACGTTCCTGGAGCTGCTACTCGTCTATACAATGGCTGCAAAACATCCGGTCTTCTCCTATCATCAGAACACCAAATGTGGCGAAATTCTGGCCAAGATTAAGGAAATCAAGCGTATGGCGGATGAATCAACGCAAATCATAAACCAACAACAGCAGCAGCAGCAGCAGCAGCAGCAGCAGCAGCAGCAGCAGCAGCAACAGCAACAACAACAACAACAACAACAGCCACAGCCACAACAGCCACAGGCGGCGCATTCACAACACTTGCTTCAGCAGCAGCAGCAGCAGCCACCGCCGCCGCCTTTTCATCATCCCATGGTGCAAATGATGCAATCGCAGCCGGTGAACCCGCCCATACTGTTTCCACAGCCTTGGACCAAGGTAAGCAATCCCTTTTTTTATGGTTATTGCTATTTGTAATACAGTAAAAGCTCTACTAACGGACGGATTCTCGAATATGACATCTATTTCATAAAAAAATATAGTTATATATTTGTGTTCATTATCAACAGCGAATCGATATAGTCATGCCCGCCTGTCTGCGAGTTAGTCTCTTAGTGTTTTTATTTTTATTTTGTATTTAACCGTCTTAATTTCTTAAAATTTGAAATCCCTTCCTTTTGCAGCTAATGGCCGGCGCAGACGTGGACGGCATGCAGCATTTGATGCAATCCAACATCACCATTCCAGACACAAATGCCATTGCGGCAGCGGCGGCAAACGCTTGGTGTATGCGAAACATGTATGCAGTGCCACCGCCGCCACAGCCACAAAGCCTGGATCATCAGGTGCCGCCACAAGCCAGCTCGCCCATGCTAAGCAGCCAGCAGTCATCGCCGTCAAGCAGTCGCACCACCAGTCCCCAGCGTGAACGCGGCAGTAGTGCTCCACTGCAGCAGCTGCAGCAGCAGCAGCAACAACAACAACAGCAGCAGCAGCAGCAACAACTGCGCAGCTTGCCACAACGTTTGGCGGCCGGCATCAAACATACACGTCGACCCTCTGTGGAGACAACGCCACCGCCAATGTCAACGTCCGTTGGCAGCGTAGACGTCAATTTGACGTCACAGCATGTCAAGCATTTCGACGAGGTGAGTCTAAGAAGCAAAGCTTTTAAGCAAGGATCGTTTAGGAGTTGTCTTTATCAGTTTGTGTGTTTGCTTATACTACAGCCTCAGCCTGGTCAATTTCGGAGTCTATAATAGCTAGATATTTTTAAATTAGGTTCTTCCATGTGAAATTCAAATTTAAGCTTCTCTTACGGTTTGGGCTGTGCGTTAGTCAACAGCCAGTCTTTTATGTATATAGATGATACAAGCAATACTTATTAATCATATGTATTTTCATTTCTTGCAGGGCATTAGTGAAGGCGGCGGCAACAGCCTGTCCAGTATTATACGCAACGCAAGTTATCCACGTGTG